GGACGTCCCAGATGTCTCCCGGCTATTTAACCCACATATTTTGAATATGAATTAAGTCACAAAGCACTGCAGCAGCGAGAGCGCCTTGAAGCTATTCATGCTCCTCACAGGGACGTGCAGCTGAGGAACTAAGATGTATCGTCACATGAAAACATCCTGTGTGTTTTCATCATGTCTGAAGTGAAGATGTAAATACAAGCCCTGCAGCCGACATACAACAACGAGGATCTCTTCAATGTTTCTGCAGGAACCTAATAAAAACTGACAAGAAACTAAACAGTAATTGTGAAATCTGCACAAGTTTGGAAATGTGATTCTATTGTCTTGTAAAGGGTTCACCTCTTAACTGACCTGAGAAACACAGCTGAGGACGTTTATGTTCCCGGCTTTGAGACATGCACAGCAGGCTGGTTGGTGCATCATTTCACTAACAAAGTGGAGGCACCACCCTCTAAATGCACACACTGTACAGGTGCTACAGCCACACCTGTGATGAACTGACCAGCTACAAAACATCTGACATACGTTTCACTAACTGAGTATATCCTGACTTAAACTATTCAAACTGCAACGTATGAGAAGATATCTGGAGTGTAAATAAATACGACACCAGGGCGCAGTATAAACAAACTCTAAGACACTTCCTGTCATGTCACTTTCCTCCCTGAACAGCAGGCTCTGTAGAAGAAGTGTTCAATATTTCATTCCTGGCACCTGCTTTGTTTGGCCACTCTCAATACTCCAGGATTCAGTTCAAACTGTGATGAATGTCTGAACGCGGGACGCCAGCTTTTTCAGCTGTTTGATTCAGATGTATTCTGCGTCCACTGGACAGGTGACAGTGAGACGACTACAGCTCTGTTTGTGTCCTTCTGTAACTGCTTCAGTCGATCCATCTCGTCCAGCTGTGGTCTGACAGAGTCCGCTCTGCTCTGTACCGCATGGGGGAAATTTATCTGGTGTTTACACAAACCCAAAAGCTGAACATGCACTGCAGCCCCGTCAGCATGAACCTGCACGAAACTGATCACAGGAATAAAACATGGAACTACTCTGCTTATGAAGACGTAACGTTTTCTGGTGTCGTGTTCATTCTGACAGCAGCTTCTTTCAGGATAATCACAGAGTGGAGTGTTATTGTTGAGACCTCGACTCACCGAGTGTGTTGTAGATGCCGTCCGCCTCCTCTTTCACCTGCTCGTCCAGCCGCTCCATGTTCTGGACCAGCAAGGCCACCACCTGGCCCTCCAGCTGGAAACACACAAAGTCAAAGTTGATGTTTATGATTAAATAAACTATTAAGTTACAACAACAACTCAACCAGTCGCTGCAGTACCTGGTTGTGCCACCAGGACCAAAAGACGGCAGCTCATTAGCTACCTTTAGCACTATAGCGGCTCAAAGAGGTGGTCACTCACACTGCAAGCAGGAAGCAATGTGGAGGTTTAACTACCAACAAACCGCCATCATACGAGACTTCTGTGGGGATCAATGGCTTCCGGCCAGTGCTCACATATTAAAGCCAAATTTTGTTTTACAAGGACAGTGTTTCTAAAATCAAGTGGCTCATGTAGTCAAGCCACTTCAGCTGCAAATATCCATCCATCATCGCTACACCTTAATCCTCACTAGGGTCATGGGGGGCTGGAGTCTATCCCAGCTGACTCAGGATGAAGGCAGGTTCACCTGGACAGGTAACCAGTCTATCACAGGGCTACACTTAGAGACAGACAACCAAGCACACTCACATTCACACCTACGGACAATTTACAATCACCAATTACCCTCAGCATGTTTCTGGACTGTGGGAGGAAGCCGGAGAACCCGGAGAGAACCCACACTGCACGGGGAGAACATGGAGACTTCACACAGAAAGAACCGGCGACCTTCGAGCTGCGAGGCGACAATGCTAACCACTGAGTCAGCTGAGACTCCAGCCTCCTACCACCCTAGTGAGGATGAAGCGGTGTATAGATGATGGATGGTTTTATTAGTTTAATTCATCAGTAATTAAATTCATCCAAAGTGAATCCAAACAAAGTCAATCTCAAATCTCTGTCACCTTTTTCACCTTGTTTGAAGTCTGTAAACTACATCCTTCTCCTTAAATTAGCGTTTTAACGTGACACTTAAGAAAAAACTGACACTTCACACAGAGAAAAAACACAGAGGAGCGCAGGAACGACAGAGCCATAGTTCTCTTTTAAGTCTCGATCTTGGCAGAAGAGAGCGACTGCTTCCCCGAAAACGTCCGCGTGTTATCAGTCAAGTCAAGATTGGAGACTCATAGCCAAACAAAGCTCGCGGGGTGCCGACTGGCTGGATAAAAGTACTATTACAGATGAAAGAAGACGGACGGCTGACACAGATATATGAGCCACCGGAGACTGTCGTGGATCATTCTGATTTATCTTATCACGGATACCACCTGGCCTTCTGGCAGCAAGGACAGAGGAGCTGTGAGCATTACAGCAAAGAGGGGAGACAAATGGATTCAACCAACCCTTGCTGCCCTGAAACCATTTTCCCTGGAAGGAGCTGTAAATAAGTGTGAGGTTTACAGGCGCTCCATTGCACGGTAAATGGACTGCATTTGTATAATGCTTTTATCCCGAGAGTGCTGCAGAGCCACCTGAGCTACTGCCGTCACATAGGAAGCCGGTTCACGCACACACCTCAGCTTTCCTGTCATTGACTTACGTCCACCAGGCTCCACGATTCTTCCCATCAGACAATAACCAGGCAGGCAAGTCCTACTCTTAAGTCACCACTCTGCATATTTAGTATGTAAATCATCACCACATTATTAAGTAAAGTGGAGTTGATGACATGCAGCTTTATCACAATCTAAGATGTAATGCTGATATTTCTCTGCATCCTCAGGAACAACAGAAAAAGCATCAGGCTAACATTGTGCAGCTCCCGTCTGAGCTCCGACCCACTGAGGCATGTCCTGCTGCAGCATCAGGCTCCAAGACGTGAGCAGCAGATCCTTTAAGCCCCGGGAGTCGTGAGGTGGGGCCTCTGTGGATCTGATCCCACATATACTCAGTCAAACTGAGATGAATTTGAAGGACAGCTCAGCACCTTTGGCTCTTTGTCATGTTCCTCAAACTATCCCTTGATAACGTTGTGTGGCAGAGATCCTGCTGAGGGATACACAAAGGGGTGTTTACATGCCAAAGTAACATCCCATAATCTGACCAAATAATAGCAATACCATGTTGTGTTGCCTAAGTCTTTGGACCATGTTTTATCTGAGTGGACTTGTGGACTTTTGGAAATCACACTGAAGCTAAAACTACCGCTGTGGGCAACATGTCTGCGTGTGGCCACTGATGAGAAGCCAACAGACTCTGTGATAAAGTGTCATCGTGACAGCCATGAAGAAGCAGAGGCACACGACTCCTCTCTCCAGGATAAGCATACCCGCACATTATTGTAGTCTGACCTTTGTCTGTGTTGCTCTAAATGTCAGACAACATAATGGGATATCAGGAACTTTTATGCCCCATAATGTATAGGTCTCCCTGCTTCATAGACTGCATGGCAGCCAGAACAACACAAAGGAAAGAGAGTAATACAGCAAAGGAGATACAGAGGGAGACATTCAACAGAGCTGACGGCAAC